AATATTGCTAGAAATTGAGTTGAGCAAATATTTGATGCTTACAGAAAATGATCGTCAGTTCAATCGTGGCAATAGGGAACTGTTTCGAATTAATTTTCCGAGAGGAAGAAAGATTGTCAATTCTGATCTCATTATTTGCGGCATGCACTTCTTTGAAGCTGCGGATATACCGTATGTTTCATTAATCTGGTACAGTAGATATTTTTTACGTTCGTCCATTCCATCTTTCTTCCATTCATTCATGCCAGGGTATTTTTTTCCACAGGACACAACCGCAGACCTTCCCTGTGAAGTTAACGGATCCGTTCACGGCTATTTTGTACGTGACGAACGACAAGAAGCACATCGAGGAGCTTAAGCACACCATTCATGTCCACGAAATCAACGAAGGTGCTTCAATATGAACAGCTTATAAGCTTTTGTTGTCTTCTTAGCATTCGTGTTTTTGATATTTTTTCCTGGTCAAGTGCTTGTTCTTTTTATGTTGAAAGAGTCGTTTCATGTCTTGTAAATCGATCCCGTCGATCAGTCTTTAATGGACACAAAAAAAGTAAAAATTGAACACGCTAAGCTGACTTAGCTGGAAACACAAATCTCGTCTTCGTGTTTTCACAGTGCATTTATCCTATTGTCTTCAAACCGACGTAGTTCTAAAAAAAAAATTAAAAGTTAATGGCCAATGAACCATCGTTGTAACATGCATTTCTTCAGTGGTAAGTTTTCTTTTGATAATGCGCCAAGAAATTCAACTCGAATAGTAGATATTAAGAAGGGGATGAAAAGCTTGAATACAGATAACATGTCAGCATTTAAAATGTTTTTATTCAACCCAGCTTTTTAATTACGGAAGCTTTCGAATGGGTGCAATATTATTGGTCTGTTTCCTTCAAATTACTTATTTCAAAAATTTAAATACAGAATACTGCTGATAAGAAACATTGTAAAAAAAATTATTAAACGATTCGCGAATAATTTCCAGTAGGAAGTCTGATCCATGGAAACTTAATCAACGGAGTATACTTGAGAATGGTACATCTATACGCCCAACTGTTTCAAAAACCCCCGTCAGATTTCACGAACTAATTGGTCTACAGCTATAGTACAGGATATAAAATCGTTAATCCGTTCCGGATTTTCGGAAATTTCATTTATAAATTCTTGAATGAATTCATGAGTTGATGTCATGCGTATTAATTAGCGACTTTGCGCCTTTTGGCACTAGATGGACTAGTTCTTATAGTTTTACGCGTGAATGAAAAATAAACCTCATAATAGGCTTCGTATAAGGTTACAGCTTTTGTTTTGTTTTTTGGAACTGAGCCATAGTCCTTTATGCAGAAAACTCATAAGGCGGGGCCACACTGCATATTAACTAATCAAACATCTTTCCCGATAGCACCGCCGCACGAGCAACACGTTTTGTCGCTGCACCGGCACGGACATTACCTTGGCGGCCTGCCCACGTCATTTTGGCTAGCCATCACCTTTCTGGTGGTTGTGTTTCACTTGTTCCTGTTCAAACTTGTATACAACGAGTATTGCGGCCGAACAACGATCGACACGGAAAGTGCGGCTGCTTCGAAACGATCCGCCGCTGCTACGATGCTTGCAATAGCCACTGCTACTTCGGAACGTTTCCGCGTCAGGTTTGCAAATTTATTTTTGAAAGGTTGATTTGGTCCTTCTTGGGTTATTTAACTGATTTTTTTCAAGTGTGCGCACCCTAGAAATAATTAAACGTCATCCAAAACTATACTGAACTGCGTATACTGGTGGACTCTCTCTACAGCAAAATGCAAGGGACCGGAGAAAAGCTCGTTGTTCGAACCTCGAGATGATTTCTTTGGGGGGAACCCTTAAAGCATGGAGAGAGAACCCTATGGAAAAGAGAAAAAAAAATCAAAGTAAATCGTTGGAGAGAGAGTCCACCTGTAGTAATTGTTAGTGAATGCGGTTTTATTAATTAGCTTCTTGGAATTTGAAGTCCCGTTCGTGTAATTTTCAGCCTCTAAAAAATTAAAATTAAAAAATACCAATTAAACTAATGCCAATACTTTCAATTGTAACATTCGCGAACGGAAATTAAATGGATACCTCAAAGAAGACTCTTTTTCTGAAAAAGAGTCTTCTTTTTGTGACAGCTTTTGAGCCTAGGAAGTGTCAACAAAACAAAAATTGCCTTGAAATAATTTGTTTCAAGTGTTGTTTCAAGCACTGACAAGGCAACTGTGTTTAAGCAGTAATAGCTATGTTCGCGTGAAGATTTAAAAATTGGCGACGATCCCCTTGAGGGATGCCCGAATCGCAAATTCTGGGTCGAAGAATGAACTTTTGAAAATCCCTTCGTGTGGACTTGATTGTACGCGTCTTCCTTCAAAAACGGATTTAGAACAGTAGTGCAGCCTGTAATCAGTTGCACACAGGCCCCTCTTACGAGCGTGATGATGTGATCCGCTGGAGAGAAATGTCTTTAGTTTGTCTTCATTCGATATTTGAGAGGTATAAAACTCGCAAAGTAATGATATTTTGTCAAGTGACCGTTTTCCGAAGCTAAATAATTCGTTCGAGTGGGAAAATCTGCACTTGAAAGATCAACAGACTGAATTCGATCAGCTTTATGATTAGGCTACATTCCTTGCAATTTTGAACTTTTATGATCTGAACAGGACAATTTTTCTCCTAAAATGACAGTCAGAATTCAGCATGCGGCCAATACCGGAGTGACTAAGATAGGATTTGTAAAATCTTGAAGCTGTGGTGTCAAAGTTGTGATAAAGTTTTCTCTTCCTTTTCGCGTTTCAACTTCAGGAAATACTCGGATCTATGATAAACAACGGCGCTTCCTGTTCCTGCGTTTGGATGCCGTATGCCGAGGATGAGGAATGGCCTTACATTTTTTTTTAATGGCTGTTGTGCCGGAAATGAGTGCTGAAGTGGACTGTTTTTCTTTTACGGAAAGGATTACAATTTATGTCGCGGAAACTCAGTACTTTTTTTTAATTAGAATGGCCAGTCTTTTTCTGCACCCATATTGGTCTTCGGTCTAAAACGTGCGTCTTTTTTTTTAAATTTAGGTCAATTTAGTCTGCTTTGAAGTGGTGCTTGTTACGAGTTCAAACCCTGCGTTCGTAATTTGTTCTCAATTCCAAACTCTTTTTGAGAGCTTTGAAAAGGTGTTGTCTTGAATTACCGTTTTATGTTTCACTAGTATCCTGTTGAAATTTGTGATGGTCTTTTCATCGCGAGTTCCTGGCGAATTAAATGAACGAATGAGTGGATTGTCGTGAAATTCCTGATCACGTGTTTTGGGAAATTTTGGAAAATGGGAAAAATTTTTGCTGGAATTACAGCTGCAAGTGGACACGTATTTTTTGCAGGATTGAGGTTGACATTGAGGTGATACACAATTTTTTCGGGGTCAAAGGAATCGAGGCGAATAAATTCAAGGTCTTTGGTCTCAAAGCGTCATTCTAGTGTGTTGGCTGTCGATCAATTTATGTTCTTAGTTTTGTGTTCAGTTCCTTAGTGTGATGTTTATGTTTTGTTTTCCTCAGTTGAGTAGAGCACGTTTTATTGTGTTCTTTTTTTTATCGTGATGTTGTGAATTATTGTTTTGTGTCAACTTTTGTGTGTGTGATTGACGGTGCAAAGATGTCTTCTGACGAGGATGTGCGAGCCATTTCGGTTGGCGAATTGAGCAAAATCAGGGAGGAATTGGAGGCATCCCTTGTGCGGGGCAAGGTCATCACTGTGAATTTGCAAGTGCACAGGAAGCTGTGTTTGGTGCACGCCAACTCATCTGAAAAGTCGAAAAAGGTATGGTCAACTTTTCGATCCGGATGGCTGGATGTGGTTAACTATACAATTTGAAAAGTGTTCATCAACTTTTTTATCCGTTTTGAAAAAATTTGGTTCTTTTCTTTTCACCTTGACGTATGATGGCTTTGCTCGTTGTTATTTCCGACGTGATAATTTATTTACACACTTCTCTTCTGAGACTAAAATAGATTGTTGAGTTGTCTTTTAGTCAGGTTAAGTACTTCGATCACTTGAGTGTGTGTGTCAGGTCAGTGATTCATGCAACACCCGTCCAATTTTTTTTTGCCAAGAATCAAAAATTTCCGCATCAACTTGGTTTGAGTTTAAAATGTGTCATTTGTTTGAGGAATTTCTAATTTCCATGCATGGGCATCCCAAGGAAAAATCAGGTAAGCGTGTTTTGGAGAAGACAAGGCAGCATTACTATGCGTATGGGTTTTGTTTTTTCTCGGACTTCCATCGTTTGAGAGAACTCACTTCAAGGCCCATTAATAAATTGAAATTTTTTGCATTCCAGCAATTAGTTTTGTACATTACTGAATATGGAATCCTGTACCGTCGATCACAGCGGAGTTGGAATGTGTTGAGTCTTCATTCGTAGTTTGGTCTGTTTGTCTTATTTTTGGCGGGTCGCATTAATTCGAGTAACCATCGTCTGAGAATACTTCGTTGGAATGAAATTTAAAAAAAACATGCTTAAGAATCTTGCTGGCCTCATCTGCGTTTAAGAACGATAGGAGCGTTGGTTCGTCTTTTCGAAGAATTTGTTTTTTTTCTTTCTTGGGGAAAAGACATCGGTAAAAGCCGGAAATCGTTGGTTGTATTCTCCTTGTTTTTGTTCAATTAGTATTGCACTTTAATAAGGATTATCTTTCTTCGATTCTAACTGAAGGTTCGTCCTCCGTTCGGCATCGCCTTGGAAACTTTACCTAAAGTTCGAATTGAATTGAAAAACGGAGCGGAAGCCTTCGTACCTCGCATCATCAACGATTTGGTCGAAATCATCAGGACGAAATCTACGGACGTGCCTTTAGTTTTTCGGAAAGCGGGTTCAGTCAGCCGTGTTCGCTACCTCGAGGTAAACATTTCTGTTGTCATTTCTCTCTCCTGTCGCTTCCTGAAGATATTTGAGACACGATAGATTCATGGTATTATTGTGAAAGTGTTTCTTTTGGTTACTACGGTAACAGCGAATGTCCGCTGACTTGAATTTGATGTCTGAAAACTTCACTCCGGTGGTGGCCCACTATACATTTTTCTAGTTGTGGGTTGGTCAAAAAGTTCCATGGAAATTCTTTTCCAGCACAAATATTTTGGAAACAGACCAGGGAGGAATGGAGGATTAACGATTCATTAAATGGATTCAATCATTTGACTTCCAATTGTGTGATGTTTTCCCTTGGCCTAATCTCAAACTTGCGTATTACAGGTGAACCTTGATAAGTTGAACCTCCCTAAGTCGAATTTTTTTCCAGTCGCTGTCTGAATTCTCTTAGTATCAATATATTAAAAACCTCCCTAACTCGAAGTCTTTATTTATAAAACCTCTGTAAGTCAAATTTTCTGAGGCCTTCTGGTCATTATTTTCTTGAAATATGAAAGATAAATTGATTAAAACAAGTAATTTGATGCATCTTGAAAGGAATTGAAAGACAAATACTGTATAGCAAATGAACCCCTGCCTCCAAGTTCAGCAAGGTGTACCCCAGAATATCCTCATTTATGATTCCTCAAATTTTTGTCACTTCTCACAACAAAAGTGTTTGTTTCCTCAACTAGAAGCCTCAAAAAATGCAAACATCCCTAAGTCAGATTTTTTCCCTGGTCCCTAGAAATTCGACTTTGAGAGGTTGGACTGTACTTCAGTAACGAACGCAAATTGTCAATGTATTGGCACAGTCCAGGTTTTCTGGTCTTATTACTGTACTGATATGAACATAGTATGTGATGAACATTAATGTTGAACTTTTAAAATTTCTGTTCGAAACATTCAAGATTATTCCTCTAGGCAAAAATTTTTTTTATCAAGTGTAAATCTATTTTTTGGTTTAATTTTTCGAACAAATTTAACGCATTACGTATATGCGTTTATTTACATTATTTACACGTGTAGTTATTAATAACTACGCAGTAGTTATTTGGACGTTTCATAGCAGTGTAAGGAAGGAAGAAACTCGGACAAGCGTGAAGAATGTCAGGAGAATATATTCTTGAACTTCGCCGGAAACCAGCAATTGACGCATCAATGAGTTCTCCATGTCACTTCACAATTGAGCATCAAGAAAAAAAATTAAATATCAACTCGGGGAAAGGAGTACCGTCCGAGTACCGTATTATTGTGGGCCGCGCAGTTTTTCACGAGTGACCGGGCCTCCTTTTTCCTCCCAATCCAGAAAGCTTCCTTTGTACAACCTGATGAATAAAATGAAAGAATGTTTTCTGAAGAAATCGAAATTGAGTAACATCATCTCGGCGGTTCGATCTAGCAGTATTTTTTTTTCATGGAATATAGGAAGTAGACTTCTGAAGTTTTTTCGACTCGGGGTAAGAAATTAGTTATCATTGGGGAAAGCATGAAGTACAGTAATTCACTGTTCTGTAGAGTGCACAGAATTACTTTGCCCAATTCCCTTACACTTCAATTTCTGCATTCTATAGAGTTTAGACGATTTGATTAAATTTCGAGTGCATGATTTACTTTGAAATCTTGCTGGTGTCACGGCGAATACGGTAATAAATAAAAATAAACATAAGTACTCTGAACCATAGTACAGTATTAAAAAAAATTATATTTAGGAGTAATGGGAAACACTTCTATTGCAATTATGCCATCGTGAAATTTCTGCGTACCTGAAGTTTTCGTAGCCGAGAGGACGGATGCGGTCAATGAAATCTTCTGCTCTCTTTCCACTTCTGCAGGCCACAACGACTTGGTCATTGCTGGGATCCGGCTTTTTGAATCTATATCGTGCTTCGAATTCTGACTCAGTTAACTTGAATGCTTCTTGAGCTTCGTGGACTGCAAAAGAAAAAAGCTTTTTTTCTGTATCTCGTGGTGATAGAAATAAGATTTCCGAAATATGAGAAGGACGCTGTTCAATGCTTCAATGGACCCTTTTAATTTTAAGCAATAAAATAAAAAAAAAAAATACATCTGTACCCGTGAAATCTCCTACTTCATACCATTTTGCCTCAATATTTGTCCAATATTTTCTGTATTTCAGAAAAATGCCTTTTTTCTCGAATAAACATAAAAATTAGTTTATAGCAGAAGCCGACCTTCTGTGCGGCTTAAAAGAACTCAGGGTTTTAATTAAAGTTAACTTCCTAGTTAATGTTCGCACTAGGTACGGTTCGTAAGGTAAAATGTAGTAAATTTAAAAAAGGTGGTGGTTAAAAGCTTGGGCGCAGAATAAACATTATCTCACAATGCAATAAAAGTCGAATTATTTTCGCGGAAGAAGGTGCTTCTTATGTTAATTAAGTAAACAATACCAGTTCTTCCTTCAGTACATGAAAGACAGCATTGCAGTACAGTATTTCCATTTGACCTTGAAATATGTTCATTATTGAAGTTTCAAGTAATGCGTAGGTAGGGTATCATGCTTACGTGGGATATTGAAGCTTCCGGGGATCATTCCTGGATCTTCTCGCTCGGTTTGGTTCCTGCAGTCGATCAATGTAAGGGTGCCCTTTCGAAGCCCTTTACTCAGCTCGTGAAACCGTACTTCATCTGAAAAACAGAAAAAGAAGAAGAAACTCCGAACTTAAATTTCAGTTCTTTCTTGATGCGAGTTTTTATCGAGTGGAATTCCAAGGCAGTTAAATCTAGTTTCAACGAAGTTAGGTGCAGCTGGGCAATGTCAAGGCCACTAGTGGCACATTGACCACAAGTTCAAGTGAAAAATTATGTATATTTTGCAACATTGGGGCACTAACATAGTACAGAGAGAAACAGTGCAATGTTATGTCTATACTGTAATGTCATACAGCAATCCTTTTTTTCAAATATAATGTACAGTGGTGTGACTGGGCCACACAACTGGGCATGCCCATGCAGGTGTGGCTGGGCACCCTCTTGCTGATGATGACAGGGGTGGCAGGGATATTCATTTTAAATTAAAAATTTCACATGGAAAAAAGTATCCTTCCAAAAAGTGGACAAAATCTTTTCCTGTGATGTCACTTGCCCAGGTGTGGCTGGGCCTCTCCCCTAGTTCGTTATAAAGGAACTCATTCAACAGTGGGGCTATCAAGTAGGGACCTCAGAAACAACAACCTTTGTAAGAATTTCTGAGATTCTATGTGACAAGATTAAACTGTATTTCCTGGTTTCATCCGTTAATTCACCGAATTTTTGTACATTAGGTGACTACTCTCCAGAAAGATCTCGAGATGAGAACCCAAAGATGATCATTATTATTATTAATTCAAATCGAGTCATTATTTTTATCAATTCAAATCGAGTCAATTATTTATATTTTATTCACCTGGGAAAACCTTGGGTGAGATGTCAGATTGATGCGGAAGAAACGCTTCCCTAAACCCATCTGCCCCGTAATGAATGTTTTTGCACGCGGATTCGCACAGGGTACATCCGATAAAGAAAGCGCTGATGATCACAATTGATTTGCTTTGTTGAGATCTCGAGCTCTTGAAATTGCTCATCATATTTTTTTCTCTCTCTCTTCGGTAACTCGGCGTACGTTTTGCTTTCAATCCGAATTCACTGGGATTCATTCGCGGTTTACTTCAGGCATGTGAAGTGTGAAACAGAGTTTGTTATCTCCTGTTGCGTCCCCAGACAGTCGGGTTATCGGTGGGGGCTCTTGGATCAGGAATACGGGATAACCGACTCATTCATTGAAGATAAGTGTTGAGTTATAGTAGATGGCTAAGAGCTTAAATATTCTTATTTTTATCTGCACTTCAGAATTGGGTTGACGTTTGAATGACATTCGCGCTTCGTTGAGAGCTGAATACAGTGGGCAGAAAATTGTGAAACTCGTTAAACAGCCCTTCCTAAGTTTTGACCTACAAAATTCAGTTCTAACTTCCGAGGGGAACCAACTTGAGAAAAATTTCGTTGTTCAGTATACTCAAAATCTTGGTGTTCCGAAGGAATTGAGGTATCATTCGAGTTTTGCCCCCTTTTATTGAGAAATGTCAAATTTGTTCGAAGTGCAGTATTGCAATATTTCAGAAACTGAAATTCAGGTAGAAATACAGTAAGCTTGAACTGTACTGTGTTTTACATTCACTGTACTTCAAGGTTACGTAGCATGTTTTTTTTTTATGCAGTGCAACCTAGTCAAGTGTAACTTTTCCAAGTTGAAAAAACATCTATACTGTACTTCGAATTTCCATTCGCCAATTCTCCTTAGAGCAATGCATTCAAGCCTCCCCACCTCGAAACTTGAAGGAACCCCTTATTCAATGCGAAAATAAAATTAAAAAACCTTGAAAATTGAAATATCGAATTGAAGCTAATTTTTAGAAATCCTATTAGAAAAGTAAAAAGAAGAAAAAATATGCAAATTATGCTCTTTGTGCTCTACAGGAGGAATGTAAATCTTCATGTAGGTAGGACACATATGGCTAATGAGCATTTGTGTTAATTTGGCGAATAATCAAGTTACGACATTTTTGTCAAATGTCAAAAAATTGTGTTCGTCAGTTTTTTCAAAGTTGACTTTTGGAGATTCGTCCGTTTTCTAATTTTTGTGTGTGTAAAAATGCAATTTAATGCATCTGGCATTGCATGAAGTATTGTATTTTCAAATAGTCCATGATGATCATGATACTGGACGAAATATTTGAAGCTGTGAAATATATTAGGTGTAAAATTGAGAGACTCTCAGGACCAAAAAACAGTGCACTTATAAAAACATATTCTTTAAATAAATAAAATACATTATCTAGGGGAACACAAATACATATTTATATCATTGCGTTATTGAATCAAGTTTAAAATCCGTATGATACCATTTCTGGCTTAATCTTGAAAAGAAACTAATTCTTTACCGTCAATAAAATCATTACAGCACTATGAATCTTCCCGAAGTACATATGAAGATGGATTCTCGACTACTCGTTATTTAAAAAGAATATACGAATAAATTCGTGCTTCAATACGTTCAATAGATCAGATCGCTGAAACGTGCCAAACTCTACTCAACAATTTTCTCTCGACTGTACAGTAAACTCACGTGGTCGAACAGATGACTGAATAATAGGCCGGAAAATGCGCAAAACGCTTTGCAATAACACTCGCATGATTCAAGTAATGCTTGCTAGTACACTATAATTCCGCCGTATAATTTGTAGGAATCGGGCCGATTTCCAGGATTATTAGGTACACTTGGGACGAGAGATGTTTGTTCATTCGAGAAGTGCATGAGGAAAAGAAGAAGAAAAAAAGCGTGGGAAATGTTTTGAGGACGGAACTTGGTTTATTTTTAATTTTTATGACCGCATTAGAGATAGGGAAAGGGGTTATGATTCTCTATCTAAAAATTTGGAAATTTTTTCTTTAGTTGAGGGAACTAACTGTTTTTCTTACGCAACTGCGCTTTGAAAACTGATGTATGTGAAACAACACTGAAGTATTGTAATGGTCTTGGAACGAGTGCCCGAATATCTTTGTGTGACCTGATCTTGAAGGGCAAAATCGCGGAATCGGCGCATGCTCTTTAGCGATGCGCAAAAATTCCTGCGCCGTTTCGAACGTCGATTATCCTCTACGTCAGCTGGAGAGAATCAGAGATTTTATGCTAGAGTATTAGAGGAACTAGATGTCACTGCCTTCTATGTCTTTTCTCAAGTTCGTAGGCAAATACGAGTAAGAAGTTTCAGATTCCAACGCCTGGAGTATGTTCTTGGAATCGTTCGCCGGAGAAGCCATGATTTTCCTTTAGAATTTTTACAAAAATACGCATCACTGTCTTGTGAACTTTCGTTATACGGAAATCCCCAGACACATTTTTTCGAAGATTTTTTTTTTTACCTTGATGTAAAAATAGAGTAATCTAAGAACTCACAGCCATTCTGAACGTCGTCCTGGGTATCGCTGCTGCTGTTTTCTAAATGAGTCCTTTCAAGATTTTCCAGTACATCACAAATACGCACAATATTTTCCACGTCACGATTATTCATGCATTTATCGTCAAGCTGTCGCTCCATGTCGTGATGAAATTCTGGCTCTGAAATCAGATAACAGCAACACTTACTTCACTGTACGGTACACGTAAACATTCACGAACAAATGCAAGACACCATGACCCAAATACAGTGAGACCCCCACATGCGGACGCCTCGACCTGCGAAAAATTCGACATAGGGACACTTATTTTCCCATGAAAAAATTGATAGAAAAGGCCCGACATGAGGACACTGACTCGACATGAGGATATTTTGTGATGAAATTGCCAATAATTTTCAGGCCAAATTAAAAGAAAGATATTTTCAACCCTAAAATTGATGTAAGAATTCAAGAACCCGTAAAGAGAGTGGTTAAATGGTAAATGTCATAAATCGATTAATAAAAGAAATGACCTCCAGCATAGAAGGACCGATTCCTTCTCTCTTTTTCACTTGAATGTTATTTTTTTTTACAGAGAATGCCAACATTTATATGTACTGTACAGAGGTATCAGTATTCAATTCCCCAAATATCCATATTTTTTAATATATTGATTGAATCAGTTAAAATTGGGCGACAATTTTTATTTTAATGGAATTATGGTGAGTATTTTGTTGATGAAGCACCGGTTGAAAATTATGTAATGTAAGTCCAAGGGAAAATGATACTTGACTAAGGGACACACTTGATGCACCAATTATGTCCGCGTCTTGGGGTCTCACTGTATTTGCTTAATAATCTAAAATAAACATTATAACCAGATTAATGACAGGCTTCTCGTCCTGAACGTGATGTTACCAATTGAAAGAACAATTGACAATTTTTAGTTTTCACGATTGGAATATCTCAAGAATCTCAGCTTCAGAGAGGAATTTTCCCATGACGTTACCAGTATGTGAAGGAATTTTCCGATTGCATTGCTCGCATCTACAGCAAAACTCTCCAACAATTTTCCTTCTTTCATCAATTCGAAAACGTAGAAATTAGGCCGATGTTTTCTTGTTAATTGCTCTGAAAAATCCGAATTTGGCATTAATTCAATTGTGCCAAGGCCGTTCAGATAAATTAAATTTCGAAAAATTATTGCGCTGCGATTGATGTAAAGGGAGAGCTCATTAAAGCGTCTTGGGAAAATCACAGGAATAATTATATACAATAAAATACCGTCACAACGAAGCCGTTGGGACCAGTAAAATAGTTTCGCTGAAGCGAAAAATTCGTTATAAACGAACTGATTTACAGAACAATTGTGGCTTTTGGGAAGGGGCCTAAAGAAAGAGTTCGTTGTTATCGAATATTCGTTATGGAGATATTCGTTGTAACGAGTTTCCACTGATATTTTGGAATGCAATCCAGTATACTTTTACTGAATTTACTGAAATTTACTGAATTTTCCGGGAAAATCTCCAAATTTATTGCGTCTAGAGTATTTTTTTTCCTTTTTTATCAAGTGGCCAAAATCTAATTGAGGCCTGTGCACATTAAAATTCGATATCACGCCACACTTTTCAGCACAAGAATAATTTCCAACTTCTTGAACGGAAGTTCGGAGCGCTTTCGTCAAGGTTTAGGACAGACTGGACCTCGGTAAAACATCTCGCAGTGGGTTTTTATCTGGAGGCCTTCGGCATTGCGCAATTACCTGCACTCCTGTGGCATTTTCCCCAGCTGCGAACCGAAACTTGGGGAATGTGAGAGGCCTTTCATTTTTTGAGCGCTTTCTTTTCCCGTATCCCCCCACTCACTCGTTCGTCTCCTTGATTTCGATGGCTCCTGTTGATCATATCACTCATCTATAGGAACATTGAATTATGCATTGTCTTGGTTTCGGTTGAAGGTCGTGCAAAAAGTGGGGTGGGTTGATGGGGGTACCCGGAAAACCAGCCAAGCAGAAAACCAACCATGAGCCTCAAGACGGCTCAATCCGTCTGGGATGTTGGTGTTCCGAGTACAGTAATTTACCCTGCTTATCCCACCCGAAAAAAAAGGGTCGGTCGAGGCCAACTTTCCGCACCCGCTGACCTTCCCTCCCTGTCCTTTGAGATTTTTCCGGTGAGGGGGACATATGCCTTTTTCGAATTTAATTCATTCAGAATTTTTGTAGTCATTTTAATTTTTTAAAGTGAACAAATCTGTTAGATTCATTGGGTTTTGACCACCCCTTATTTGAACAATGGGGGCCCAAAACCCCCTGAGTTATCGAACTTCCGTCATCATTTATTTTTCTGATTACATCACGTAAATCATCACTTTGTATGACTGTCTTCAACTCGGGTTGCCGTGGGTGTAGTCCGAAAGCCCCCCTGCCAAAAGCCCCTGTCATCGTAAATTGTGAGTCCTCAAACAGCGTAATAGTACCCCGTTCTCGAACTGTGTTTCATATGTGAGATCCGCTTAGCAACACTTTTTAGTTCAAGCACCGGAATGTGTTACTTTTGACAGGTCATTCACATGACTCGGTTTACTTTCTGTTTATTCCGGTCCTGCGTGGTCAGTAACCCTTTCCGCGCATACATTGTCTATAAAGGAGCATCCGAACGCTTCTCTTGTCGCTCATTGCTGGTCTGGACTGTTGTTGCGCTGTATCAGAAATATACGTATTGAGTTGAAAGAGAAGTTGTCTCATTCGCTTTACTCCGGTCATAAGATTAAAGCTTCTCGACAAAGATTATCTCAATGAGTAATCATCGGATAGAACTTAAAGATCTGAAAACAAGAAGACATTCTTGTCCTGTTTCTTACAAAGTTTTATTTACATCCGGCAGTTTGGGATAACAAGTCTTTATGGCCATGTATGTTCCGCGCGTAATGAGCGCAAATTGGTTCCGTGTCCCTGACGAATGAGGACTTGTTGCAAATGACAGACATAATTGCTCTGGTGACTTGGCAAGAGGACGACAGTGACGCCGGCGGGTTCTACCGCCTCCACGTTTACTCGGAAGAGTCGGTCCCGCTTTTCGGACCCGGTCTCCCGTGCCCGCCAATCTTCAGAGACAAGAACGAGTTCCGGGACTTTCTCTTGGTCAAACGTGAGTGTGCCATTATTCATCCCTGCTGCTGCTGCTGCTGCTGCGAATTCATAAAACATGCGAGTCCGTGCCGACGGACGTGAACCGTCATTTCTGCTCAGTGTGACGGTTCTTTGTACAATGCATGCCCTGAAGCACTTTCGAATAATTTTCCCCGGTCTTTTTTTACTCTGCTACATCCGACTGAGTCACACAACCTGAGTGCCGAGCGGACATTTGAACAGGCCCCCGGAAGTGATTATGCATATTAATTCGTATTAATAATGTCACCTGCGCAACATCGTCGAGTATGAGACAAAAAGCGTACTTAATTGAGGTCCACCATAAATTTAAATTACATTTGTCACGCCTGCTACACCGTTGCAAAACGGGGAGGCGAGGAAAATCCCAGGGTTATTTTCTGCGGCATTCACGCTTATAAGTATAATATACGGTAGTTTTGTTTCCAACTTATTGAGAAAACGAGATTTTAAAATTAATAGTTTAATTTTGTTTGATTCTCAAGGGAAACTCAGAAAAAAGGAGGCAAATTCCTACAACGCTCCACTTTATTCACATTCTGAGAAAGTCATTTTACCACAGGAATTTAAAATGTTGTTCCATGATGATTAACAGAAAAGGGAACATATTGTTTTAGGAAAAGTATTCAAACAGCGACTTCCACGTTTATTTTATTTAATAATAATGATACAGTATTGAATTTTTTAGCACAACCCCCTTTTATGAGAGTTGTTGCTTTGCAGAAAAAATGACAGCATATATTGTTATATTTATAGTGAGACCCCCATATGCAAATATACTTGGTGCATCAAGAGTGTCCTGATGTCGAAATGTCCCTAAGTTGAGTCTCATTTTTGCTTAGACTTCAATGCTAATGTATTTAATTGTTTCTCCTTTTTGTAAAAAAAATTAGAAATGTCTTCAAAAAAATTAGTAGAAATTGTTTTCCTCAACTTAAAGTTGTAGAAAACAACAGTGAAGAACAAAACGACATTGAATCCGATCTTTTTGTATCAAAAGGAGATGAAAAAGCTAAGAAACAGAATAAGTTTTGCTAAAATATTCACAGATGATAGAAAAAAATCTCTGACAAAGAAGCACAAAATCAGCTTGCTTTTTATTATGAATTAGAATGAATTTATCATGATTTTTGTGTGAATATAAATACTATAGCTTGATTTCTTCAAAAGATATCAAAATTTTTAAAAAGTTTCAAGTTTTTGGGAAAATTTCAGAAAAGCATCCCTGTCAGAAAGATAATTTTCAACCTACTTTCAGACAAGGAAAAAAAGAGCTTTTCCTTCCGATTGATAAAGATTCAAGATTTTTAGAACAGGATTGATTAAAGATGTCAATCTGAGAATGATCAATAAAACCAGATAATCAGCCAGGCTGCGGCTGGGACCAACGTCCTAGTATAAATTGATATATTTTCAAGAAGACAGAAAAAAGAGTTGAGCTCAACAAGTATAAATTTTAGATTGTTCAAAAAAGGTTTCGGCAAGAAAAGCGCCAAGCAAAAATTTGTTGGACTGTTGCAAGGTCTGAACTGGACTGTGTCTTGGATATAAAATCTCACTGTTTTTCCGACAAACAGACTATTCGTTTTTAATAAAGGATATCCTTGAATCATAAGGATTTCTGCGTGACAAATTTAGAGGACCTCTCTAGGCTTTGGGAGGAAGATCGTGGGAACTCAAGGTCATTTCTTGTCCCACTTTGAGATTATTGGCCTTCTGCCGATTCCACCAAATCTTGTCTTTCTAAACACCCCTCAACTATATTTTTGACAGTCCCTAAGTCAAGTTAATTTCTGGATGTCAGGCCTGATTTTTTTTTTCAAGTGTCCCAAAGTCTAATTGTCCGTATGTTGGGTGTCCACATATTGGGTCTCACCATATTTTCATGAATACAGTCAGCAGAGCAAAATTTATTCTATCCAGCTGGATTATCCTTGGAGCTTTAAATCTTCCATTAAAATGCCCTCTGAGTTGCAATTTCAGGCTGATAGCTGAACAGTCATGCAGTTACCAGTTTGCTCTGAGCCATACAGATTTCACAGATCTTTATTGATTTTCTGTTAAACGAAAATTTATTTTATCACATTTTTAAAAAGATTTATTGTTCCTTTTTGCATAAACTTGATTGAAAATCTCTTTGAGCAGTGATAAACGGGGAAAAGGCTTCGTTCAACACTCCGACATTCGCTCAGAAGCGGGTACGAACATTGGACATGCTCTTGAAGGACATGTATGGCGAGCACATGACGGATCTCAAGGGTGTAAGTGGAGGAAAACTTTCCCGTCTTCTCAGTGTCCATCTTTTGTCTCCATATGCTTTCTTCCGTTTCCACTTTCAACTTCCGGCCTCTCTATACACGAGGGATCTAACAAATGTTCTGAGATCAGGAGCTGAAACGACATACGATTGAGCTGAAAATAATCAATGTATAAAAGAACATTCTTTGAGAAGTTTGAAAAATGCAGCTCTGTTTAAAAAAAAAAAAGAAAAAATTTGAAAAAGTCACTGTATGATGGTAGCTTTCTGCCTTTCACTCAAAAAGATGAGGCTCATATATTTTAAAAATATTTGGATACCCAGATTTTCCTTCAGAATTCCTGAAATTGATCTGGCAGCATTAGTTCCAAGGGCTACCGCCATTAATTGATCATTAATTTCGCCATTTTCATCAACAGCCGCACCTTGAGATGATATTGTTGAAACAGCGGAATTCCCTTGGAAAACCTGGAGGCAAAACCCTTGGAATTAATGACATGTCTATTTCAAAAATTCTGAAGGAGAAGCACAGATTTTACACCATAAAATCTGTGAGATGGGCGCTTTATATTTTGAGTGAAGAGCAGAAAGCTGTCTGAGTAACTTTTGCGAAACAATTACATAAAATATGCCAAGGAGGGCAGGTTTTTTTTCTTGTGCCCAAGAATGTTTTTTGGAACAATAATGTGTTTTACAGGTGAATAAAACGTCAACTGTATATCCCGAGAAATTTTGTTATACCCCTTTTATTTGAGTAATGACGCATTTCTAGAAAATTTCCTTTTTATTCAGAGGGAAAGTTGTTGCAAATGCTTTCGAAAGATGGATCGTAAATTTTATGCAAGGTAGCTCATTTTCATGTCTATGACCTTTATTTGTGCAGAGGTTCTGGATGATAAGTATGAGGCACACTCAAATGTTTGGAAGAAATGAATCTTTGTACTTCTGTATAAAAGACAGGCTGACCTTATTTTGCAAAATTTGTGTGCGTAGTACTCCAATATATTATTTTAATGCATTGTGTTTTTATATTTAAACATTTCTCATCCAGATGCTGAATCGAAGAGCTTTCAGCGATGTTTTGCCTGATCCTCCGAAGTTGTCCAGACGGAAAGAAGATGCTCGGGAAGTAGAATTTGTCCGTATTGGACAAGCGCTCAAGT